TATGATGGGCAATATGGAGAAGGCAGAGTGTAAGGGGTCAACGTCTGGCTGGTTAACTTACTCCATTATTTATTGTTATAATATAATATTAAAAAAAAATTGAAATGGCGTTTTATACATCATCTGAAAGCTGAATAAATAAACTTTCTATTGATGTATGGTTTGTTAGGATAGGACAATTTGTGTCCGAGATACAACTATTTGAATATCTGGAATCTGAGGGTGCAAAAAAAATCTAAATACTGAGAAAATCGCCTTTAAAGTTGTCCAAATGAAGTTCTTAGCAATGCATATTATTAATCAAAAATTAAGTTTTGATGTATTTATGGTAGGAAATTTACAAAATATCTTCATGGAACATGATCTTTACTTAATATCCTAATGATTTTTGGCATAAAAGAAAAATTGATAATTTTGACAATGTTTTTTTGGCTATTGCTACAAATATACCCCAGCGACTTAAGACTGGTTTTGTGCTCCAGAGTCACATATTTAATTATACAGTATTATTTATTATTATTATTATTAGTAGTAGTAGTAGTAGTAGTAGTATTGGTATTATTATTATTATTATTATTATTGATTATAGTAAATATATGTTTATCAGAGCCCAATTTTCTAACAATTATTTTTGTCTTATTTTCCAGTTAAAACAGCCTTTAAATCTAAAATTCCTTGAAACCAGATATATTTACTTTTACTTACTTTTAAAATTATTTTAGAATAAAGAATACACATTTTAAATGGGTTCTTCTCTTCTCTACAAAAATTATTTCAAAATTGTTTAATTCGTCTTTTTTTAAGTTCATCTTAAGTAAAAATCCAAAAACCAAAAACAAATTAGTCATTTGTTGAAAACATTAAGGCTTGTTTTCAGAAAATGTATGGTATGTTTGCTTTTACTGCAATGGCAGACTTCTTCGATTTTAAAATAAACAAGTAAAAAAAAAAGTATGCATTAAGACAAATTACACCTTCAAGATGCAATCTATTAAAACGATCATTTTTAATATAGAAGATAGGATTTTAGATAATTTTACTTAAGATTCTTTTACTTTTTTAAGGACACATTTCATTATGTTCATTATGGTATGTACTGTAAAAATGATTGGATTTTTAACAATAAAATTACAATATATGTTAAAATTAAAATATGTTCCCAAGCCTACAGTAAAAAAAACTGTAATAGCTCTAACAGGACGTTTCATGTAATTTTACAGTAAAATACTGTTAAAAGTAAAATATTTGGTATTAAAAATAATCATAATTTGCAATGAAAAATGTAAATTGACATTCCCATAATTCCCTGCATGACGCTTCTCTTTTGATGTTTTTTTATTGCAGCATTTCTGCTGCCTTTCCCATCATAGCTTAGAATGAGGTTTGGGACTATTTGCTTCCTTGTGGTGCAATCGGCCAGTCAGCTTTGTCATGATGTCCTTTTTGATCTGCAAATGATGCAAACCAGATTCAAGCTTGCATTAGAGTATGTGCACTAAGCACTTGATCAATTCCCTGACACTTTTATCTTTTTTCTACTCTTGTTGTTGTTATTGTACATTAATTAAAGACAGAATTTATGAGCTAATATCCCTGCCCAAACCACAGAACTTTTAACTGCATACAAAACAGCTGAACCATAGTAAATGCCATGCTATTTCTCAACATCATGATTGTTTTTTGCTGATGAAATACAGGAAGAGTCGAAAAATTCTATTACAAAGAAGAACTGCAAAGTGCATCTATTAGATTTCCATTCTCAAGTACAGTGAAGTCTGGTCACGGCACATTTCCCCTCCCACAGCTGTGTGTGTATCTGTCACAGCCGCTCTCTGTGCTCTAAGATCTAACCTGGGAAGACAAACACATGCCTAGTAATTGCCTACCAGACGGTGTGGTGTTTAGCCCAGCGCCCCATGTGCTCATTTCCAGCATATGCGGCAGGCTTTGCCCTCTCGTTTCATTGTCATTCCTCTTCGCGTTATCCATCCATGCATTCTTTTCCCTTCACATCCATGTATCCATCCATCCATGAATCCATACAGCTAAAACAACCCACCCCCCGCTTCCCAAACCCCTCTCAACCCAGGTGCCCTCACTCTTCTGTGGCGCTGACTCCCATTGGGTGATGCTGTCATCTGTAATGACAGTGAGCTCTGGAGCTGCACCGCTTGTGTGTTTGTATGGAGAAACAGCTTGCATAAAGCTTTTTTTTTTTAGCCTATAACCTGCTGTACAAACAGGCTCTTGGGCTAGATGAACCGTCTGCACTTTTCATTGTAACGCCTCAGGAACTGGCCACTTAATATAAAGTGTAACATTCTGGACACCAACCACAATTTATATGTAAAGCCTAACTTACTGGCCGTTGCTGTGTAACATCAGAGTAATTACATGGTAAATCCATAGAAATTGTTTACTTCATATAAAGTGTAACACTTTTTTTTTTTTTTACCAAAAAGTGCTGTTAGTCCTGTTACACATTTGTACTTTCATTACCAAAAAGTGTTGTTACCAATGTCCTGTTACACATTTGTATTTACACATACCATTCAGTGGGTTGTTACATATGTGTAGTTACACAAACATTACAGCTGTAGATACTATGTACCAATGTGTACTTACACTGTGGTTACATACTATGTACACATCTAGTTACTATGTAAGTACACAGGTATTAGGGCCACTTAATATAAAGTGGGACCCAAACGTTATATAATGTTTCACATCATTAATAATATATTAAAATAGCTAAACATATGAGACAATGTGCTTGTAAATGTCTACTAATGAACTTATGGAGCATTACATAATGTAAAAAAAAACAAAAAACCTTTAGTTAATGTAAATTAAAATGCTTACAAATGTTCGATCCATATATGATCATGCACTTTATACAAATTTACATATAATTTTAATTGCACTTTATCATTTTTATCAATAAATCATTAACATACATTTTATAACAAACAAATATAATGCTTATTATATGTATATGGTTTAAATGGCTAGAAATATGATATAAAATGCTTGTAAATGTTATTATAAAGTGTTACCATGCATGGCTTCAAAAATGACAAAAATAAATAAATAAAAGCAGCATTAAAGTGGTACATATTACTATGTTAATCTTCTAAACAAATATTATAATGTGAATGTTTATTTATTTATACATACTGTATATACAATAAACCTGTTGATCTAGTTCAGGGGTGGCGAACGTCGGTCCTGGAGAGCCGCAGCCCTGCAGAGTTTTGCTTCAACCCTAATCAAACACACCTGAACAAGCTAATCAAGGTCTGAACGGTTATTAGGAAGCTACAGGCAGGTGAGTTTTAATTAGGGTTGGAGCTGAACTCTGCAGGGCTGCGGCTCTCCAGGACCGGAGTTCGCCACCCCTGATCTAGTTCATAAAACTAGCTTGAATGAAAATTGGATTATCAGTGAAAATGGCATTTTGTCCCATTTCTCGCATGAAGTTATTGCATGGCTTCAGGAGACCTGTAATATAACCTGCAAATCATATGGACTACTTTTAATTATGGTGCTTCACTTTTTACATGTTTTACAGTGTTCCACAAAAGAATCATATGTCATATGGGTTTGTGAGTAAATTGTAACAGAATGATCGTTGTGTGTTATCTAATATCCTTTAAGATCTCTAAGAAGTGTGTAGATACAAAGGCTTCTGTTAGTGCAATTTATAAAAAACAATTTAAAAATGCAATTTAAAATGTCACTGCATGACATTTCGCATCAGACCTCAAGGATCACATTCAATTAATTTCAATATACTGTAGTCTAGTTTAATCTTTATAGTCGTACAGGGTTGGACAAAAAGCAAAGTTAGCAAAGGGGATAACTATGCCCAAAGAGCCCTGCGTACTGACATCTTCCCCAATAATAACACACAAAATACTTTTACATTATAGTATTTTACATAATAACTGTGAAGTACTGATGCACCTGTAACTGTTGCAATATTGTGTTATCTATCTAAAGTGACAGACTGTGTTCCAAACAAATTTTCCTCTCTGACCCCTGGGGTAAACTTTATTGCGATTGTTATGAATTTCTCCTTGAGTGTTGGGCCTGTACTGTGTGAGGGGCATCAAAAACTTGAGCTGTCTACCTGAGTACAGGGGCGTGGGAAGATGCTTTCGCTTGGGGGTGCTGTGTGTGTCTGTGTTTTATGAATTTCTCCTTGAGTGTTGGGCCTGTACTGTGTGAGGGGCATCAAAAACTTGAGCTGTCTACCTGGTGTCACGTGTTCATGAGGATTAGGCTAATCATCCCATATAGAAATAAAGATAAACATGGGTTTATTACAGCCCACTTACAATTTACATTTCAGAGATCATTACAAATAAATTATTAAATGTTAAAACTGAATACATATCAATGAACAAACTTGGCGTTGCATTTGCAACCATGTGAAAACGGGGTGCTGCAGCCCCCCAGCACCCCTACTTCCCGCGTCCCTGCCTGAGTAACATTTTTAGGCATCCCAGGCACATTCCTGACACAAAACGCTGTTCAAAACTGTGGGCAGCAAAATTTAATGAAGCCGATTTTAATGATTTCATTGGTCAATCACAGAGCTGATACCCCACATAATGCTGAAACAATTATAGCCTTAACCTCAGTAATGCTAATAGATAGTAATGCTAACAGATAGCATTACTGATTGTTGAGATCAGATCTATTCATTATTCTTCTCAACTCTGAACTCTGAATCACACACTAGAATCAACTGTAAACATAGTTGATTCTCTTGTGAGAACTGTATGGCAATTGATAGACCAGTGTTGTTACCTTTTAAGAGCGCTTCAAATAAGATGTTAATTTTTGGTTAGTAGCCTACCTTAAAAGGCACTCAAAATGAAGAAGACACTGAGGCAGCTCACTAAGACAGAGCTAAAATTTCGGTATAATTCCTCTCTTCATCTACTCATCGTTTCTTTCATCCATTCTCTCTCTGTCTCTCTCTATTTTTCTAGTGTCATCTTTAATCCTCTCAGCAGAGGCCTTCTGATGATGAGGCTAGTATATGGAAATGAGGAGGGTCGGCGGCAGGCTGGTAACCAGACCCCGCTGTAATAAGGATGAAGAATGACAATTTGAATTTGGAGATTAATGGATTATCTGGAAAGGGCTTGTCACAGTGCCACAGCCAATGACCTTTTCAGATTGACGGATGACTCCATTTTACCTGAACGAATTCTCTGGTTCAAGGGACGGTATGGCCACTCTCTCTTCCCTTTTGATCTGAGATTGAGAAAAGCTTATTGGCATGTATTGGAATGTCGGAGTGAACTGTGAAAAGATAGATTTTTTGGCACTATATCAGCCATAAAGTTCGACATAAGGAGACGGTATTGTTTTATCCACTGCTAGAATTTCACAGAAAGGTCAGTAGTCAGTACCCAAAGGCTGTACATGATACTTGTGCAACGTTTACGTTGACTATTGCTTTGCGTGACTGAAAAGAAGAGACAATATAAGGAGGAAGAGACAGACAGAAAGAGCCAATCCCTTGTTGGATGGCTTGTTTACTCTCTAGCATGCGTTGGAAAAACAATTCAAATTACTATTTATTTTTTTATTTTTTGCATGGTTTAAGCTGAAGAAACTGAAATGACCATTTTTTTTGCCAAGATTGTTATCTTAAAGGGGCTTTGCGATAGGTCCTACAGAATTATAAAAAAGAGAAATTAAATCAAATAAACCTGGGATTGAACGTCTACAGTATTTCTATTTTATGCATGTATAGTTAATTGCTATGAGTCCTCAACATGAAGTGGCTCTACGTCTTATTTCTTTTAACAAGACACTCTAACAATCTAATGGCTTAATTCCTCACAAAAAGAAGTGCCTGAAGGTTAAACTTACATGAAACAACTGAATATCTATCACACAAGGGACATGAATATGCATACAGTAAGTGGAGGACTTGATACATTCCAGAGCTGATATTGTTTCAATGAGGTATTCAGATGTGCCTGTTATTCGTGCAACATCTATTTACATATTTTTCCAGAGGTCCTACATTTAATCACAGCCTATGGCCTTGTGTTTGATGTGCACTGTAAGGAATATGTTTTCTTAAAGTAAAAATGAAAAATGGTAAGAGGTGAATGTTGAGGAGAGTGTTACTTGTTTTCTGAGGTATCATCCTTTGAAAAGGCTTAAGAGTTAGTCTCTCTGTAGCTGTTTTTCAAGGTTTTTAGCCACTTAAACATCAAATGATGCTGAAAGCTGTTTGAGATTTGCATGCTATTTGTGTGTGACTGAGAAAGAACAATAACTTGAGACTGTGAGTGTGCATGTTTATGTACTCTTTGAAAGCATTTTTTTTATTATTTAGCAGTATATGAGCTACAGTATAGTCTCACCTAAAATACAACCACAGTCTGTTCGCTGACAAGCTAATGCACATTCCACACAAAAGTGATGCTTGAAGGAATAGTTCACTGAAATAATCATTTACTTATACTCAAGTTGTTACAAATATTGTGTGTTTGAGTGGTCCAGACGCTACAAACTTGTATGAGTTTCTTTCTTCTGTTGAACACAAAAAAAATATTTATTTTTCAACTGTAAACAGTATTTATGAATCTTTCTTAACTTTAGTTAATACAAATTCAACTGCTCATTGTTAGTTCACGTCAGCTGAGGTCCATGAAAATATTATGAGATTTAACTTTTTATTTTATTAGTAAATGTGATTTTATCTTACAATTAAAGTACTGTAAGATAACTTGTGAATTCTTTAGAAGTATTTTTCATTGATGGTTCATGTTAACTAATGTTAACTAATGGAACTGTCTTGTAAAGTAACAAATAATCACTAGATATGGCAAACCTTGCTAAATTATAGTGACATCAAGAAAGATTCAAGAGTTTTGCTTTGAAATTCAGAAGTGATCAAGTCAAGAATCACATAATTAGTATAAATATATCCGATATTCATGCTGTAATATGATAAATACTGTTGTCATATCATTTTTGTTCATGCTAAACATTCATTCTGACTCATACATGTACCTGCACACATTGGGCTTCAGTTATATCTTTGTTGCCCGAGCGATTCTGTAATTGTTCTTTAACAAGCCAGATCAATGGGCATTTATAGCAGCAGTTAATGCAGACAGGTCTTATGTTTTAATAGTTGTGGACTGGGAAGCAGAAGATGAGATGAATCACACTGAGGCTGTAAACGCCACTCACTTCCTCACAGACTCCTGCAGTTTCGATGGTTAGCGCTTATGCTAATTAAGAATGCAGTATGACAGTGTTTAATGTGATGCCTGAATCCATGGTACGAGGGTGAATTCCTTTAGTTAGCTGTCTCTTTGCTGTAATGGACAACTTGACATGGTGTTTAAACACTAATCCAGTAGGTTCTCTCTCAATTATGTGTATATTTTTACTCTTGCGTATTACAATTTGTGGTGTCACTCAGTGTAAACAAAGACACATTATTCAGATATGACTCAGTGGACGCAGGCTGTAGCACGTCTTACGCAGTGCTATCGTAGAAACACACAAACGCATTAGCCGTGTTTCCACCTTAAATGTCTCGTAAAGGTCACGTTCAGTATTTGAATAAGCCATCAAGCCCAGCACAGCTGTAATAAGGGCAAGTCGGGATTATTTTGGGTGGAAGGAAATCACACCTAAGAAACCAATTTCAAGTCACCCGCTCGGCACTAATAAGGCAGGAAGAGGTTTTTCTAAAACTTTAAAGGTGAAATATGACCCCCCCCCAAAAATACAGTAAAAAAATGTGCTATTGTGAAATATTAATACAAA